GCCCGATTAGGGGACTGACGATATATGGTGTCGATAAGGGGACTAACATGTGTAAATGTTGCCGATTAGGGGACTGACGCATATATGGTGTCGATAAGGGGACTAACATGTGTAAATGTTGCCGATTAGGGGACTGACGCATATATGGTGTCGATAAGGGGACTAACATGTGTAAATGTTGCCGATTAGGGGACTGACGCATATATGGTGTCGATAAGGGGACTAACATGTGTAAATGTTGCCGATTAGGGGACTGACGCATATATGGTGTCGATAAGGGGACTAACATCTATATGATTTTTAAATGGTATGTAATAATATCATGAAGCTATCTTCTTTTGATGTGTATATAAACTTTGGAGTAATGATTTGTTAAAACAAAAGATAAAAACCAAAAATGCTTTTGATACACCCAGATAATTGCAATATTTAATTTTCAATCTCTGTTATTTAATGACAGTTTTTTATTTTTTTTTTTTTTTTTTTTTTTTGTAATCTTGGAATATACCCAATTGATGGATTACACATTACTCCCCACCTGCCCCCCCCCAAAATGGTTTATAAGCAAAAATCTATAATTAATACTATTTTTTTTTTCTTTTTTAGAACACTATAATTCAAGAATTTTTATTTTTATAATTAAATTTTATGATTGACATTAATAGATTAACAACTTTCAATGTAATTTCAAAAGTAGATTTGATGAGTGTTGCTAAACATTCTTTCAAAAAAAAAAAAAAAAAATATTATCTATTTATTTACTACAACGACTGTCCACATCTTGTTTGTTCTTGTCACAGTAATTCTGCCATTGTACTCACTGACCTACAGAGATCTATTCTGAAAATTTCAAGCTAAACCATTTAATTCAATCTGTGATGTTCAATTCTTCTCATTCTGTTGTCCATACTAGAGGAAATCTCATCAGTTATTTATCCTTGTGACACCACTTGTCTCTTCCGCTGAATGTGTGTGTGTATATATATATATATATATATATATATATATATATATATATATATATATATTTTAATAAGGTTTCTCAAATATTCAGGCCGTTATATGAAAAAAATAAATATACTTTTTAATAAATAAATGGCGTGTCTACTCAAATAAAGTATCTGTTAAAAAATAACATTTAAAGTGATAAAATATATATGTACATATGAATATTAAAATTTATTTATATAAAATATCTATACAAAATACTTGTAAAATATGAACTTTCCATAACTTGATACTGCATGATTTTTTTTTTTTTTAAATTTATTTACTTTTTAATTATTAAAAAATACTACTTGTGGAATATCTAATCCATTGCTAAAAAAAAAAGTATTTTAACTCTTTATCATTCGATCTGTCCTATAAATATCAGTTCCCAATGTTCAACTTGCCATAACCTGCTCCATTTATGCTCCGCCATAATACATGATGACATCATTGCAAATAATGCAGGAAAATCAGCAAACAGTGAGACTTTGACCACAAACAGACTTTGAGAGCCAATATTTACAGAGCAAAGGGTAAAAGAAAATGACTTCAAATTTAACATGCTGTTGGTTGTTGAGGAGGTGATGATTATTTCCTGGAAACTATTCCTAATTATATCTGAAGTTATTGGAATCACTTTTATTTCAACACTTATGCTTGTAAGAGGCTTTAATGTAATGGTTTGCATTCGCAAGTGGATTCACTTTGGTCCCCCTGTGTGTTGTGTGTCATTTTGTATCAGACAAGATTTAGTAGATAATCTGTATTTAAGACATGTTCTTTTGCCAGGCTGTAATATTGATCTTATTTTTCAGTATTCAGGAATTTCTTAAAATTCAACATTCATTCTTTAGTCAATCATGACTTTCTTGAGATTTCCTTGCTTTCTCTGTGAATTCTTGGGAAAGATAAAAGATTGGTTTCTGATTCCTTTGTTTGCAGCTCTAAATTGAGGTTTTCTTCTCTTAGTCTATACACAGAACCCAGTCTATTTATTTAACTCCTAGCTGGGAGCATGTACAGGACATGGTGATTATGTTGGGCTGTATTTAAAAGGACAGCATTACTAAATTTTGAATTAACTTCTCATTAGTCACTAAGTTCATCTAATTTATTTTAGAATTACCCCAAAAGATACAAGTAAAGAAATTCAACATTATTGGCATTGGAATTTCAAATTTCAATTTAGCTCACTCTGGCAAATTTTGTACAGGATGCATGGGTTAAAAAGGTTTCAAATTTCTCCTGCATCTGCCACATGAGAAGTTTTCAAGGCTGCTAAATGTTGTACAGAAGGTGCAGTTGGTCTTTTATATTTACAGTGCTTGACTTCTTCTGAAAATTGGTATGTTGTATTTAGTGTAAGGGTTCTTTAGAGAGTGGTGTTTTCGTGTTGCCTATATCATTGGCAATGTTATGCAAAATGTAAGCTCTGAGTAATATTCAAGTAAACTAATTCCCAACTAGGTCATCTGTTGGGACATCCCCATGTGACATTGGCAAGGATTTTGGTTGTACATATATTAGGACACACCAGGCACTACTCTGTCTTCCTAGTTTCCATCTGACTTGGAATAATTAAGTCTCATCCATTGTCCAGTATGTAGGACTTTTTTTGCATGTCACCATTGCCAGAATTCTGTTCTGATAGATTCTCTCATTGCCCACATCCAACATCCTCTTAAGTCTTCACCATAACCAGGTGTAGAGGTGGCTTCCAAGAGTTATGCCTTGCCAAAGGGCAACTTGTGATTTGGTCCTAAGGCAGCATACAGTTTTGAATTCCAAGTTCTCCTTCTCCTAGATTGATTGCAAACCATGGCTAAAGAATGCAGTCTGCTTTGTTATTTAACCCATAGCTTGGAGGAGAAGAGAAAGATTCATACCTTTCTCAAGAGTATTTGTGCATAAGTGAATGCAAATGAACCTCTGACTGGAATTCAAACATGGTCCTCTGATTTCTCATCCCAAGTCATTATCCATTACACTATCATCATTACACAGCCAAAGCAAAAAACAAGGAAAAGATTTTATATATTTTCAAAAAAACTACTTTTTTCTGCCTGAATTTCTTGAAAGAGTCTTTATTTACATTCAGACTATTGTCTTCATCTTTGTTGTATTAAAATAACATTTTGACTGTTGTGCTCCCTAGCCTTTTACAGGTGCTCTCCGGTTGATATGGGGTAATGTTCAGAGAAGTTTGAACTGAACCCTTTATTTAATCAACAGCAATGAGGAAGGGGGGCCTTTTTCAGGTGCTCTCCAGTTGATATGGGGGTAACGTTCAGAGAATTTTGAACTGAACCCATTATTGAATCAACAGCAATGAGGGGTGGGGTTTATAGATTATTCTCATTCTGCTGGTCCATGACTTGGGATGTGTCTCATCTTGTTTCTTATTTTAGTGCTACTTACTTGTTACTTGCCTTGTTTCCATTGAGTTCAACTTCACACTGCTGCCAAATTCACAAACTGACATTTTAATCCACTCTTGCTTTTGATGTTTTTGGGGATTTAAATTGTAAAAGTATTTAAAAGGATTTGTCGGAGGTTCTGAGACAAATCTTCAATCTCTTCCTACTATTTAATCCATAAAAGGTGGGCTGCAATAGAACTTTTAATCCTTTTATTTTGCTTCAGGCCATATCATGCTGAAACACTGGTTGCCACATGTTCAACAAAGTTAAGCAATGTCAAGTCTGGTTAGTACCTACATGGGTGACTCTTTGGGAAAACCAGGTGCTATAAGCTTGGATGTGCAGGTGGTGTAATGGATAAAGGTTCAGAATTGTTAATCAGAGTGCCATGTTACAATTCCTGTTGGTTTTGTTATATTCACTTATATGCAAATACCCTTGGGAAATGTATGAATCCACCTTTACTCTCTCAGCTATTAGTTAATTAGTAAGATGTGTATCGCTAAACCATTATTGTCTTCAAAAACAAAAATTCTTGAAACCTAAAAATATTTTCTGGTTTTAAATAATCTGCAAAAGGTTGATAAGTCATAAAAAACAAATCAATTAGTCATTTTTTTTTATTTTTTTATTTTTTTTTTTTCACATTTGAAACTATGACTTAATAAATCAGTAAAATGTTGTGTTGCATGTTATCTCTGGATTCTAGTAGTCTGTCTGCAATTCTTCAGTAGAGTTTCAAACTGCTTCCCATCAGTTCTGACCAGTATGGTAAGGTTTGCTCTGTAATTTGGAAGGAAGTCAATATAATTAAGGATAGTTATCAGTAAATACAAATGCTATAATGACATAACCATTACTACATGAGATAACAAGTTCTTGTAGTAGGAAAATGCATTTGTCTCATTTAAAATAGGTTTTATTCAGAATTCACACAATTTAATCATTTAATACCTCCTCTCCCCCTGTTCTAAATTAACTAGTAGAGAAGACTTGGCTCTCTAGTTGTGATTGGCAACCAATTTATGAAAAGGACAACACTGAATTCAAAACTCATCCACCTGAAGCTGTACAAAACTGATTAGTCATGGGATGTGGATATGATGTGCATGTCAGATGAAAAATCTGATAGATTTCAACAAGTGAGTGATCCAACTGGGAGTGAGGTAGGTGATTATACAGGATGTTTTGGGCATCAACAAATATTGAATCCAAGAAAGGATGGATAGAAAGGTCAAATAACAGGTTACTTTTACTTAAAATCATTTTCTTACAAAAAAAAAAAATCAACAAAAGACCATAATAGTTAAAAAGAAAGAAAAAAAGTAAGAAAATGATGCTTAATATTTTATATGATTATTTTCTTCCATACAAGTTTCATTAAAAAGAACTGATAAATTCTAGTCAAATTTTCTTACTAAATATACTTTGCTTACTAAATATACCTTATTCAAATTATTTGCTTATGAATGACTTTGTGTTCTGGTTTTAAAAGCAAAGGTGGACACTGAATTTTTTTTATTCTTGCTAATTCTAGTTTTTTATTACAATTTCTTTTTTTTTTTCTTTTCTTTTTTTTTTTTTGCCTAGGCCGCTCTAACTGTCAACTCTTGCCGAAAGATACCGTCGATTGTGTCGAGGATGCTAGCATGGCAGCAAACTCCTTTAAAGGCCAGAGCGGAATGTTGCAGTCCTGTTACCGGCCAAAGCCAGTGTCAAGTGAAAAACCATCCGATGGCAGTATGCACTTCACTATCACTCGACATCCAAAGGAGTTGCTCGACGTCATGAATGTTCTTTGGCGGTCCCGTAAGCTTTGTGATGTCACTTTCAAAGTGGGTGAAGAGTCTTTTCAGGTAAAAACAAAAAATATGGATTAAATCCTTATACTGGGTGCAATGGGTAAATTGTCTAAATTACGTAAAAATGGAAATGACATCTCATTTTTAACAGATATATTTACCAAATTTATACAAAAATATCTTGAAATACAAAAGAGTAAATTATTCAATAAAATCGCTATTGGCTTCAACCACGGCCTCCAGACGACTTTGGAATCTCCTGCATCTCTTCTGGACAGTCTCCTTGTTTAAGTTGTTGAATGCTTCCATAATCTTTACCTTCAGATCAACTTTGGAGTTACAAGAAGTTTTACTGGTTTTGCTCAACTGTGCCCCGCACATAATAATCAAAGGGGTTGCAGTCTGGGGCGTTAGGTGACCAGATGTAAGGGGTGATGTAGTCACAGAAATTGTCTGAAAGCCATGACTGGGTTCTCCTGCATGATGCAGAGTCATGTTGCCAGACATAGGGTCTTCCATCAGCCACCCTCTTGGCTCGGAGCAGCATTACAACCTCAAGACACTTGATGTAGGCCTCCGTGTTGAACCTTGAGACCCCACGGGATGATGAATGGAGGTATAACATTGCCATCACTACTGATCACTCCAAACACTGTGATGTTGACTGGATATTTGGTTTTCATCACTCTAGGTACGTCTTTGGGGACACAGCAAACCAAGTTCTGTGTGTTCACAATCTTATCCTGGCAAAGATTTTTCTTGTCTGAGAAAAAGCAAAGCATGTTCGGCTGGAGGGGATGCTTGAGGTTGTAGTGCAGTCTTTCCACTTGTCCTTCATGGCTTGGGATAAAAATTGTCCCTTTCTCATCTTGTATGAGAAATACTGAATGTCTTTATGCACTACCTGCCTGATAAGAAAGTCAGACACACCTGTGTCTCTGGCTATGGACCTGATTTAATTGGAGGGATTGTTGTCAATCATGACCTGGATTTCAACATCAAATTTGGGAGTTCTTATCAAAACGATCAGAGTGAGATTTCCGAGCTGCTGTACCTTTAGACTCATCGAACTCTTTCTGAATCCTCTACACTGTCTTTTGATTAACACCCAAACACTCTGAAATGTTTGTATTGGAGCTTCTGGCACAATTGCCAAGCAGTACCACATGCTGTTTCCAAATTTCAGACGGAATGAATTGCATCATGGTGTTCTTTTTCTCACAGACGCTGCCCAACTGACCCTACTATACTGTGCATTTGACAAAATCAAAACCAAACGACGCGCATGCACAAAATTAAAAATATAAAATAGCGACAATTTACCCATCGCACCCTGTACAAATTTTTTAATATTAACTCTCTAAGAACATGTTTGATAGTGTTGGCTAGAAGTAACCTCCAGTTGCCATTTTTTTTTTTTGTTTGTAGTAATCTATTATGTACTGAAATGACATTTACTTTTATATATAGGGGAAGGAAGGGCTAAAAAATTCTCCACAAAATCTGCTAAAATGATAAAAAATTTTGGCGGGTGGGGGAGAACATTTTAACAACCCCCATAATGATTACTAAAATTGAGTTCCCTGTCAGCTGTGGCTTCAGAATACACCGACTGCACCTCTGCAGAGGGGTAAGACCTCCCCCCTCCTAATTAGGTGTCCTACATAAGATGATAAACTACGTCCAACATGAAGGCCTCTGATCAGGAGGTTTTGAGGAACGTGGAACCACGCCTTAATTGCTGGTGTTCCCAGGTCTAACCTGACCCAAGGTGGTAGCACCTGTTAGGTTCCCAGCTATGGGGGTCAAAATGCTGTAGCTGTGTAAAAACAGGTATTAATACCAGCAATACTTTTTGAGAAAAAAAAAATTTACCCGCAATACTTTTATGAAGAAAAAATTATTAACAGCAATATATTGGCGAGGAAAAATTACTGCCAGCAATACATTTTTGAAGGAAAATTTATTGCCAGCAATACATTTTTTACCAGCAATATAGTTTTGAAGGAAAAATTATTATCAGAGATACAATTTTGAAGGAAAAATTACCAGCAATGCTTTTATGAAGGAACAATTATTGCCAGCAATACATTTTTGAACAAAAATTATTAGAAACAAAATATTACCAGCAATACATTTCTTTGGAAAATATTATCAGCAATACTTTTTTTGAAAATTTTTACCTGCAATAGATTTAAAAAAAAAAAAAAAATTACCTGCAGTAGATTTTTGAAGGGCAAAAACATTACCAGCAATACATTTTTGGAGGGAAAAAAAAAAAATTACCAGCAATAAAAATTTTATTGGCATTAAATAACCCATTAAGGTTGCTATGCCATAAAACAAAGCAAACGAAACTAAAATTGAGCTTAGTGTGAGGCACTTGGTAAGGGCAGAACTAATTATACTAACAATGGTTTGCAGAACTTCCATTAAATCACTAATATATGATGATTATTATTATTATTAATAATAATAATTGTTACATTTGATGATGATCCATTTACTTTGACATCCAGCAAGAAAAAAAAAAGAAACCTAATTCATCACTTCTGAAATCACAATATGCCAACAACTCTTTGTATTGCAGTTTTTTTGAGGCTCTTATCAGAGTGAGAAGTTCATCCAAGAGACAATAACTATAGTGAGATTAAGTTAGCACTTGGTACTTGACTACTAACAGTATATCCAGTGTAGTGATGACATGGACATTATTGGGCAGTCATGGCAAAGTAGTTACCTTCCAATGGAATCAATGGCCATATTTCCATGACCAAGGTGAACCTTCAAATTTGAGAACCTGTGGTCTAACCTGGAGAGAAATGAGCTCCACCAGGTCTACTTTGCACATTACACATGAATGAGACAAGTGGGTGGGACCTGGTCAAATGCTCAATTCTGATGAGAAACATGGGACGGAGAATGATAATTAGGCACACCATAGACATATTTACCTCAAGCCAATGGGTCATTGACTTTAGAGTGATGATTAACAAGTTAGTCTTGCAAGCTACTGATAGTGATTTCTGCACATTTTACTATAACCAATGAGTAAATGTAGTAAATAAACATGCACTGTGTGTAGAGTGAAAGCCAGTGTTGCAAGACAGGACAAGGAGAACAACCATGTCCCGACAAATTCCACTTTCAAGAGCTTGGTTTTAGAGCTAAAATTATTTTACAATCATTTTTGTGTATGGCTGCTGAAAATGCCCACTTTGTGTGTTTGGTCACAAAAATAATTGCTGAGAATACATGACTAATGAGTGAAATATTAATGAAATATGGTAAATATATTGGGTGTATTTGGGCAGAAATGCTTCATTTATACAAGTTTTCTTATTAAATATAAATTGTCCAATATCTGAGTACTTTTGGGTTTCATAAGCCATAAAGGGTTTTTTGTGCCATTTTAGTTTCATCATTTTTCAAATATTGTGTTTTTGGTTTTTACATGTCGTGTTGGATTTTTAGTGTTACATCTCCAATGTGGCATGTCATGTTATCGTGTCTTTTTATTCATTTTAGTTTATAAAATATATTTAGTATGTTTGTTCCTGAATTTGGTAACATTGTCTTTGGAAGTTTGAAATGAAAAGAAGTTAACATGTTCTGACCAATATTCAGAAAATGCAATGTGATAAGTTGAGTAGCTATGTCAACACATCATCTGGGTCTCTGGTAATAGTCAATATCCTACAACAGACATGTTCTCAGTTTTGAGCAAGATGAATTTGGATGTTTATTCAAAATTTTTAATCAATATATATTAAGTCTCAGCAGCCATCCCTGTGTCAGCAGGAGTAGCTTTTAGGCTGGAATTTATTTTTACTTCTTACAATTCTGACATTTTGTTTTATTTTTCTATTTGGGTTGCAGGCACACAAGATTGTATTAGCTGCTGCCAGTCCCTATTTCCGTGCCATGTTTACTGGAGGCATGAAGGAAGAGGAGATGACGGAGATCCGGCTGCACTGTATTTCTCCTTGCACCCTGGGGATCCTTATCAATTTTGCCTACACCTCTGAGATCCAGATCAATGAGATGAATGTGTGTCAGCTGCTGCCAGCAGCAACCATGTTCCAAATCACGCACGTTGTTGAGGCCTGCAGTGTATTCTTAGAGCATCAGCTCGATCCGAGCAATTGCATTGGAATTGCAGACTTTGCCAGCGAGCATGGCTGCATGGATCTGTACAACAAGGCACGTGATTACATCTACAAAAATTTTAGCGAAGTCAGTAAGTGTGAGGAATTTCTAATGCTCTCACCCTGCCAACTCGTTAGCCTAATTAAGCACGACGAGTTGAACGTCTTCTGTGAGTCGGAAGTTTTCAATGCCGTCATCAGGTGGGTGGAGCACGACACCGATAAACGGCTTGGCAAGTTAGAGAGTCTGCTCGGGGCTGTGCGTTGCCATTTCCTCTCGCCAAAGTTCTTGGAGAAACAGCTGAAAGTATGCAGAGTCTTGAAGAAAAATCCACAATGCCAAAACTATCTGGCTCGAATCTTTGAAGAACTCAAACTACATAAGCAAATTCCTGAAGCTTGCCGAAAACCTTGCAAGCCAATGGTGATCTTTACTGCTGGTGGGTACCTGCGCCAGTCTCTCAGTAATTTTGAATGCTATAACCCAGAGAGTAGTGAATGGAGACGTTTACCGGACTTGCCAGTACCTCGAAGTGGGCTGAGCGCTTGTGTAGTTAAGGGCATTCTTTATGTGGTTGGAGGGAGAAACAACTCTCCGGATGGCAATATGGACTCTGCTTCTCTGGATATGTATGATCCGTACCGGAATGTTTGGCGTCCATGTGCACAGATGACAGTACCACGGAACAGGGTTGGAGTTGGAACAATAGACAATATGATATATGCAGTAGGAGGGTCCCATGGTACTCAGCACCATGATACTGCTGAAAGGTAAGGGATTTTGTTCTTTCATTCTATCTCTTGTAGTTCTCGTTTCTTTGGCATTGTAGATTGCATCTTTACCCCAGCTAGATCACAAGGAAAAATGGAAAAGATACCTTTTGGTTTCAGTGAGAAAAAGAAAAGGAGAAAGATGTTGGAGGTAATAATGTTCTCTGTGTGTGTGTGTGTTTTAATGTCTGCTTCAATGAAGACTACAACAAAACAAAAATTAGGCCAATGATTATTCAACCCTTAATTGATCTTGGTAAATGTAAACCTATTCTACTTTTTGGGTTGAATTGGCGTGCCATTTTTCCCTTGCAAGTTTCTTACCATCTCATAATTCTGCTTATTCCTTAGGTAGCATGTACGTTACGGCACTGCCATTATCTCATAAATAAAGGACTATTCTGTTTTTATAACTAGGAAGACAGAAAAGACATATAAAAGATGCTATTTGGTTTCAGTAGGAAAAATAAAGAGGCGATAATAATAACACTCTTATGCGTTTAATACCTGCTTCAGTAAATTTTTAATATTTTAATTTGTACTCTCTTCTTTAAATAATGACCTGCATTCATACTTATGACTGTTGTTGCAATATTTTGTTAAAACTGATAAGCTCAAATATTTAATGTGGAGATATGGGAATTTTATAGTTATAGAATTGACAAGGAAGGTGCTTGTTCAGTCATTAACTTAAAAAATAAGATTCATAATAAAATGCAAATAGCAAAACTGAAATTTTTGCAGGTATTTCTAGTTAAGAATAATATTTTATGACTTTTACTCTTATCTGAGGTATCCTAAACCATATTACCAGAATTATGTCTTTGACCTCCTCCTCCTTCTTTTATGTGCAATGTCCCTTCAGGGACCTGGTGATCATGTCTCTCCACAATCTCCTGTCCTTTCTAGCTCTTAATAAATTTTGTCTTTTTTCTTATTTCTCCTAAACCTTGTTCCACCATCCTTTTCCTCAAACTCTTGAGGTAGGTTATGCATTGTTTTGTTCTGTCCAGCTTGCCATCAATCTGTCCTGTGAGTATCAAATTTTCTAAGCCTTCTTTCTTCATGTGCTCTAGAGACTTCAATTGTCTATTCTTGTTGTTAAGTATAAATGTCCTTTTTGTTTCCATTTTCTCTAAAACGGTCATTGCTCACATATTCCGTTTATGGTATCCTCAGCATCCTTCTGTAGAATCATATTTCTGTTGCTTCAAGTCTCTTCTTCATCTGTGAGGAGATTGTCCAGCATTCACTGCCATAAAGGAGGACTAATATTATTTAACAGTTGAGTACTCTTTGTTTCTAACAAAATTTTTCTGTTTCTTAATACTTTGCTTAACTTTTGGAAGGCATTTTTCACTATCCCAATGTGTCTTCAGATTTTAGTCTCTCTCTGTTAAAACATTCCCCAGATTAAATTGTTGTACTTGTTTGATTTTGGTATTTCTAATTTGTGATTAGAATTTTGGGCTGTTCCTTTTACTAACAACCATCTTTTTGCAATTAATGTTTATTCCTTTCTTCTCTCTTTCCTTCACTACCTTCTGTCGGAGTTCTTGTAGTTCCCTTTCCGTGTCTACTATCAACACTGTGTCATCTGCATATCTTCTGTTGTTAAAATTGCCAATAATGAATCCTGATAGGACTTCTGTTTCTCTCAAAATTGCCTCATTGTATAAGTTCAATAAGTCTGGTGAGAAGACACGTCTTTGTCTTACACAGCTTTCTATTTTTGTATATTTACTTGAACTCATTTTCTGTCCAAATGCACGCAGTTTGCTGCCTGTATAGGTTCTGGATTTTTCTAATATCCTTTCAAAATATGTCAAAGGTTACCAAGCAGTTCCAACAGTTCTTTGTGATGTATGTTATCAAATGTTTTTTTATAATCTACAAAATACAGGTACACATGCTCTTCTTCATTTGTATTTCTCTTTCTGATATCCTTATGCTTAGAATGATCTCAGAAAGAACAAATATCCTAAAATGATACTAGAATGATATCCTAGACCCTATTACCAGAATTATGTCAGTCTAATTTATAAGGAATTTTGTCTTCAATTTGTACATGGTATCAAACTGTCTTTTCAAATTAGAAAATTAAGAGCTGGTAAAAAAAAAACTTTTTTCTAGAAGGCTACACCTGTCTGTCTGTCTTAAATTTCTTAATTTAGTTAGTTTATAGGTAGATACCACAGTGACACTTGTAGTTTAATCAGATTTATTTTAGAATTTTTGCTGTGTTGGTCAGTAATCAATGCACAAATCTCTTTGTTTTATGATTGTTAGCAACATTTGATTGATTTGGATTTAAGAATAAGAGAGAAATTGAGGTTAAACAAGAAACATAATTCAATTTCAAATTGTCTAACCACTTCCTACAACAGGACTATACCACACATGACTTAATTTTGGATTTTATGGTTTACTACTGTTTATTTGCTCTGTAATAATAAATACATTAAGCTCTTTTTGGGGATCAGTTTTAATATTTGATATTACTAGGATCCACTTGGATTATATACCAATGGATTTATTACCTTTACTGTGTGTGTGTGTGTATATATATATATATATATATATATATATATATATATATATATATATATGTTATTTTTTCACACTTTTTGTTGAATACTGTATATTTTGTAAGTTTCTTTTTTCTTTTAAGTTTTTTTATGTCCTTACAGTTTGCCTATTTTGAAAGCTAAGTGTGTAACAGAATTGTCCAGAGTACTAAAAAGAAAAATTGTAAGGACACTAAAAAAAAATAAACTATAAAATATTCCTTTTATTTTTTGTCATATTCAATGAAACCTGCATAAAATAAGGATTGCTACTCAAGTGTGTGTGTGTATATAAGCCATCCAGTTTCCCAAAATCTCTGTAACTATCATTGATTTTTTTGAAAGGCTTCTTTGTCTGGCAAAACAAAACCTTTTCAGTATCCCCTCCCCCAATCTGTTACTGTAGTGGAAAGAAATATTGTTATGCCTGAGGGTTTTTTCAATTTCATCTTTTGATTGATTGAAAGCTTAATAATAATAATAATGATTCTATTAGTATTTTTGTGATTATTATTATTATTATTATTATTACTAACTATAAACACATCAAAAATATCATATTACATTTCCAACATTTATTGAATCCTTTCTTGAAGAATCTAACTTAATGCCTCTCTAAAACTGACAGTGTGTACATGAAAAATGTTCCCATATCAAAACACAATAAAACCAAAAGACATAGTTTCAGCTGGACATACACACACATAAAGTGATAAATGATTGACCAATAAAAATCAAGCAACATAAAAATGAAAATACATAAATTTCTGTCTTTTTGCCCCTTTTCTCATTTCCTGATGAATCTTTTAATAAAAATGAAATCTGCTAGATTCATAAATGTTTCCTATTTGTTCTTTATCTTATTATCCTGCCAGATTCCAATTCAATGATATCTTTACTGGGTAGACACATGTTTGAATCATTATCCCTGTACTTTCTTAAACAGTAAAGTTAATAACAACCTTCTTTTTTTTTTCTTTTTTTTTTTTTTTTTTTTTGGCCTGTAGGACTTCTCAGTTTAGGCCAACTGTTAATAATTTCACTGTTTAATAAAATAAAAATATACGGATAGCACATCAAACATGTGTACCCACTAAAAATAACATTTATAGGATTCAAGAAATAATGTCAGACAAAAAATAGCCTTTCAAATAAATTTATGTCTGTGTAGCTTTTACTCAGGAGGAGACCTCAGAAGCACATTCTTGCATGGGGAGCTTAAAGACCAGATCCCAGGGGACATCGCAAATGAAATCCCAGAACGAGTCCCAGTCTGCTCATTGATAACAGAAAGATGTTCTGTTGGTAGGAGCTCCTTTGCTGGGGGGTGGAGTAGAAGGAGATGTTGACAGATACTACAGCATGATCAGAGTTGCCGGGAGGGAAGAGCTACGAGGCACGAGAGGACTCAGGGATGGAGGTGAAACAGAGATCGAGAAGGGAAGCCTTACCGCTCAGGTTGTTGGGGAAACATGTGAGAATGTTGACTATTTGAGTGAGGGATTGAGAAATAGAAATGTTAAGGGTTTGTATGCCAGCAAGGTCAGTTATAGAGTTTTTAAGCCACTTGGTGTGGTGGGTGTTAAAGTCCCCAAACATGAATATATGAGCAAACAGATGGAGAGAGATAGCCTTGTCTATATTGTCAGAAATGCTTTCGAGTACACCGCAGTCTTGGGTGGATGGAGAGATAGCTTATAACATTGAGGAGAGACAAGCAGAGACACAAGTATGAGTGGTCTGGAGATTCGAATGAGATCTCTCTAGCCAGTGGGAGATGGTCTTTGACATAAACTCCAAGGCCATGCATGTGGGTTTGAGAGTCTTTTCTAAGGAGAGGAAGGTAACCAGAGATCGAGAGGTCAGAGGAGGAGATAAACTAGTCATGGTTGGTCTCGCAGAGAGCCAGTATATCAGGCGACTTCTCAATGAGGAATGATTCCACACTGCAGAAGTTGGTTTGAATGCCACGGATGTTAGAAAATGTTGAAGGGTTTAGGTTATTTTATTAAGAGCTGGTTTAGGTTTGCTTTTTGGATCGTTATTTGTCATTTTGGTGATTTGGGAAGTGAAAATGAGGAGGTCTGAAGTAGAAGTAGCAGATGGTCATCGGCTGTGACGTGGGGAGAAAGAAACTGGTGCAGCCTGCATCATAATGTGGCCTCAGGGTTGCCCACCGGAGGTGAATGCAGGGGCACCTATCCATGCATGACATGGCACTACAGGCACACCGGTATTATACAACAGTTGATCAGAGCGGCCACCCAAGACGCTACACAAAAGTTAGGGCTCCTAACTACCAGTCGGGAACAGCAACCAGGAAACTGTCAACCTGGTACCCTCAGAATGAGGAAGCATTGCCACAGACTGCACACATCATGAAGGAATCGCAGCAGTACTAGTACTGAGGGGAGGAGAGGAAGAGTTCCGGGA